GGGAACGAGCACCAGCGTGGTGGTTGACATGGACACCCCCAACAGCCATTAGCAGAAGGATGGATATAACTCCTTCTTCACCTCTGAATATGGCCTGGCCCATCCGGAGGATGCTGGGAACAGCCCTTGGGAATAAGCGGCCTGTCCTGTCAAATAGTACCTACATCTGTAGCAAGACAAGATATCAGGGATCAATCCTGCATACCTGATCCCAAACTACAGTGTCAGCACAAGTAGCTGTCTTACAGTCTTATATACACCTTAGAGATGGCTCCACCTGTGTGATCAGTTGTAGGCACCTTCGTTAGGTTGTCACGTAATGCTGGATCTGTAATGGGACGCGTGTGTGAACAGCCCTTGGGCCTCTGCTAGCAGCCTGGTTCTGTTCTTTCTAGGTCTCTGCTGGCTTACACTCCTGGGGGCCCTGTGGCAATCTTGTGGCTGTTTGCTTTACATACGTTCTCACTCAGAAGTCACTGGCAGTTCACTCTACAGAACAGTAGAGTGTGAAAACATTATTTCAATTGTTTTTATGAATTATTTAAATATGCAACGTTATTGATAATGGATTAGACTTGAAGTTTTATCAGAAGAAGAGAGCTTATGTCCCGTGACAAGATTTGAGAATGTCCAATCTATCCTTGCATAATGTGTGCTGCCTGGGGAAAGTAAGGACTTAAGATGTCTCAAAGCCAATGGCCAAAGCTGGGCTGGGGGTGGGAGTACAAGGAACTCTTAGGAGCGGGTGCTGAGGTATGCAGCTGTTGCAAGATGGGTTTAAAGCAGAAGCCTGTTGGCTTAAAGTTTGTGGTTAAAGTTTTAGGTGTTGTCAGTGGATGCTTCCTTCACCACTTCATTCAAGAACAAGGCAATGCCTGACCATACCCAGACTCCTTTGTCATCCTCTAGTATCCCACTGTTCTCTCTCCCTGCTTTCTAGCTGGTACATCTCCTCTCCTCTTTCAGTTCTCCTGGCACTTTGCCTGCCTGTGGCAGGTTCCTCATCGCTACAGCACACCCCAGCCCTCTTGGCAGAGACGTCAGATCCTGGATCCCCCGCCTGACACTAGCTAGCCTGTTGCACTGGCTTTTAGTTTAATTTTAATTTAATTTTTTTAAATTTAAAAACAGTGTCATGTTTAAATAAGGTTGTGAATGTTGTGACACAACACATTGAGCTGAATAAAGCTCAACGGGGTTGCTTGTACAGGCATAACTCTGCTACTTACTGGTCCTCCCCCTCTCCTAATACAAATTAAGTCATACTATCAGGCTACATTTTAAATTCCATGGCTAGGACTGGCTGTTGGACCTTTGTAACAGTAAGAAATAATCATATTGATTTTAATGGTTTTATAGCCACTCTGTTCCGGAGACCTATTGCTGCTGCCTGCAGCGCTGTGTGGCTGAAGTTCTAGCCAAGCTTCCAAACAGCTGGATATGGCAGAGATCTGGAGGTAAAAGCCAACCTCAGCAGAAAATAGTTGGGTAGCCAGCTCAGGTGGTGGCCCGCAGCTGCTGCTCCACTCCCAACAATAAATCATAGTGGGGACTCAACTTCAGAGATGAGGCTTAAAAAGACCATTGGTGCAAAACCAGCTGCTCCTGCAAAGTGCCTACCCAGGGCACAGGGCAAGTATGGAGAGGTGGGTTAGAGAATGGATATCTGCAGGCTCCTGATCCATCTCCTGATGGCCCTATGGCAAACAAAATGCCCATTTGGCTCCCTGCTGTGCCACATTTAGGAAGGCAGTAAAAACTGTGCAGGGATGCTTCCCTCTAGGGTCAGGCCTGAAATAGGTTAAGGAGCTTACAGGAGTTGAACTGGCAGTTAAGGTGGAGAGGATTATCCTCAGATGAGTTTGTTCTCTGTACTGTTGAAGAAGAGAAAGCTGCAGATCTTCAGCTCGTACATCTGCTGATGTGCAGGATCATCTGTGATCTGCAGGATCAATCTGACAGATTGCACAGATGCACTTTTAGTAAGAGCATTTACTTTTTCTGGCCCCAGTTGGGTCCCAGAGGGCAACGTGGTGGGTGACATGGTACCAGTATGCAGGAGCAGCGCCCAGCAATCGGTGTCTCTTCTTCATAGAATTCTGTGTGCTTGTTCCTGCCCTCAGTGGTGCGTGTCTTATCTGTGGCTGGCAGCAGGCCAGGAGCTGCGCCTGAGGTCTATGAAGTGGGTTGGAGGGCCCTTTTCAAGATCTGTGCACTCACTGGGCAGCTGGGCACTCAGCATGGAGCTCTTATGGGTCTAGGAGATGCTCATGAGTGTCATCCAAATCCATAGAGCAGGTGATGAAAGATGAGTGCAGGGGTACCATCTGAGGCTTCACCTTCTCCTCTCCTGCTCTCAGAATAACTTGCCTGACAAGGCAGTAAATCTTTACAGGAGCCCAGCAGTGAGGCAAACAGTTGTGGAGGAGAAGGGCACAGCCCCAGCCAGGAGCCTATGGGTTAACACACCAGCTACGGGGCTTGAGTCACCCCAGGCTTGCAGGACAGCCCAGCATAGAGCAGCCTTCAGATGAAACAAAGTACCTTCTGCCTAGCTGGGGCGCAGATAAAAGATCCCATGGCATTTCTTGTGAAGCCTGGAGGAGACTGCCAGTGCTGAAGCTGAACTCTCTCTGCCAACAAACAAAACTGTCTTTAAACTCTGAGGCTGTGTGTGAGCTATTGTTGGGGACATAATGGCTTCTCTGTTTCCCTGCACAGTCATTGCTCTGCAAACACGCCACTGGTCTCTTTTAAAAGTAGTTGAGTGTAAATCAAGTTCTAGAACCTGGAAAGAGGTTTCATCCATTTACCTTTTACTGCCCTCAGTTGACATTTGTTTACAGAACAGCACATACAGTAGATTTACACCCTGGTTTGAGCTGCTTGACTTGGAGATGGACATCTTGAGTACTCAGACTAACAGATACAGGGCTTGGATAGCAAATGTATATTTCCTAATTTAAATAACAGCAGTGGGGGTGAGATTGAGGGGGCAGTGCTTGTTAATGCCCTCCCTCTGGGAAAAGTTTTGGTTTGGCTGGCCTGGCCTGTTTCCTTTAGTTAGCTCAGTGCTGGCACACTCGCTGCTCCCTAATCCTGCATGTGCTGCTGCTGCAAGGCACCAAGTGCTGCTCCGACTGCTGGAGTTTGCTCTACTTTGGGCTGTTGAACATCCACAGAGGGTGGGTTTGGTGGATCCCCTCTTCACCCAGAATGCCATGGACTGGCTTGTCTCTGAGGATGGCAGATGCTTTGGTAAGGTAAAGGGCATCTTGGCTATTGCGCAAGTACAGTAGTCATGGTGAAAACCCAAAGCTGCACTACACAGGCGGAAGTTGGGCCTGAAGGCAATACGATGAATTTAGGTCTTTTTTGCTGGAAAAATCCTGTAATAGGAAAGGAAATGGGTCAAAGAGTAGCTGTTCAAGCTGTATTTCATGAACTGTCAGTCCCAACATGCTGGCAGTGGCTCTCTATCCCCTCGATAGCTCTCGACTCATTCTGGTGTGTACCTGGAATATGCTTACTGGATTGCTCCTTGGTGTCCTATGCTCGCTCACAGATGAGCTGTAGCCCTGTGCACCCCAAGAGCAGCTGTGTGCTGGAGTGGGAAACATGGAGACATGAGCACTGGCCATTGTCCTCTAGAAGCAGCAGGGTCATTGGAAAGGTGCAGTGGCCAAGGGCCCTGAATGGGAGGGGGTGCTGTGCTCACACAGGGGTGTGTCAAATAGTTTTGGCCAAAGTTGCTTGCTAATAACTAAGATGTGGTCATCAATGACCTTCTGGACAGAGGCTCCTTCACAGACATGGTATTTAAAAGCATATTATATGAAGTTGAATTTTCTAAAAAATTTTCCTCAGAAGATGATGTGAGTTGTGATTAATATCAGTTACATTCTGCTCCTTGGATTTCCCTTCTCACTTATGAATCTGCTGCTGGTTTGGTGTATGAGGTTACCTACCTGCGATAAGACAGGTTCTTACCCAAGTAATAGTTGCTGGTTTGGGGCCTTTTCATTGCTGGTACTGTAACACTTCAGAGCTGTTACAAAGGGCTTCCAGGAGTCCCTGGAATCCTCGCTGAAGTAGATCACTCTGCAAATAGGATGGCAGTAATGGATAAAGGGGAAGCTGATAAAAGCTTTGGCATTAGAACAGTTGTTCTGCACAGAGATGGTAGGGGCATAGAGAAATGATACCAACAGTGCCCATAGCAAAGGTCTTGATATGAATCTGAGCAAGGAAATATTTGGGACTCTCTTTCTGTGAAAGGTTCAAGGGAGGAGGAAGTTGTGCACTGCCCGCAGCTCAGAACTCAGGGAAACCTGCTTAAGAGCAAGGGCTGGAAAGATGGGAAGAAGTCATGTATACAGCCTCACCGTGTGGCTATGAAGTAGGGAGGAAGATGTCAACACAGGCAAAGCCAGCCTGCCTCGGGGGTGTGGGCAGGATGCAGTCCTTGACTCCATCACATTACAAAGGATGCAAATGGCCTGCCAGCATGAGCCGGAGGGGGAAATCTGTTAAAAAGTTTCTTATTGGTATTGCTGACTTGATTTGGGAACTGGATCAAATCCAGTCTGATGCTGGGCCCTTGTGCTCCCAAGCAGAGCAGTAACTTAAATGCTTGCTGAGTATCTAAAATCCTCAGAGCATAAAGTCACAAAGAGCAGTCAGTTGTTCTATTGCCACTGAAAGGTAACAGTAGCATCTTGAACATCCCTTCTCCTCTTCATATTCTACTTCACTTCAGAACAGGACATCATCCTGATGTAACTGTCAAGGCCAGAATTGGGCTCACACCTCCCCTGACCACTCCTTCCCAAACCGCCCTTCCATATGCTGAGCTGTTGGCTGCCAGAGGTAGAGGGGGAAAGAGAGAATATGAAAGAAGGTAGATGAAAAGACTGCTCTTGTGCCTGATCATCTGTTCCCTAGTTCCCACATGCCCCAGAAGCAGTGAGGCTAACAATCCTGTCTCTTCCCACAGGAAGATGAAGAAGTGCTATGTGGTGGCCGGAGTCCTGACTGCAGCCCTGCTGGGGCTCATCTTGTTCCTGGGACTCTTCTTCGGGCTGCGTGCTGACTCAGGGGACAGACACACTTACAAGAGGGCGGCTGTGGCTACAGACGCGGGGCAGTGCTCAATAATTGGAAGGTACCCGCTAATTCTGCTGTGACTGTCATTAGCTCTGACAGCTCTTGCGCAGGACAAAACTGTTGTTTCCCCGATGTCCAGGTGCAAGCCTGGCAGTTGCCCAGCACATATAATCTCCAATCTTCCTGTAGAAAGATGAGGCCATAATAAAACCTGGGCTTTTACCATGCTTGACCAATGTTACTGCAGTTGCTCAAAGACAACATAGCAGGCAAAGATTCCCTAGATGCATGAACAGTGGGAACAAGAGATGCTTCTCAAGCTCCTTTTAAAAACCATTTATCAAGCTGTCCTCCGATTCTAGATGCAAGTGCTGCAGATTTTAGGTTCCTCAGAGAGTTGTCATTTCTCATGTGTAATGAATGTGTCTGGATGCCTGTCCCCCTGTGTACTTTGATGCATCTCAGTGTTTTCAAGCTAATTTGTATGTGTCCCTAATGAAGGCTGATCTGGTCTGCACCTAGACCGTTAGGATCTGTTCTCTAAGGTGACAGAAGCTCAAAACTTCCTGTTCCTGAGGAACCTATAGATTGGGTGTGGACGAACATGCATTAGAGATGCTGTTATAGCTGCTCTGACGAGATGAATCCACTGCTCAAAGGTAGCTGACACACTGTAACATGTTATGATGCCTTCTCTTCTGCTGCACAGGGACATCCTTCAGCAAGGTGGATCAGCAGTGGATGCTGCGATTGCAGCTCTGCTTTGTGTAGGACTCATGAATGCTCACAGCATGGGCATTGGAGGGGGCCTCTTTTTTACCATCTACAACAGCACAGGTAAGAGACAGGGCCATACATATCTGGAACAGTTTGAGAACTGTTTATCTAAAGCAGGTGATTTATCCTACCTGAGCGAAGGTAAAAGACTGACTCTCACAGCCTCTGGAGGAACATGCAGTCCTCAAAAGAAATTGGCTCATGTTGATCAGACTTCTTCAGCAGAAACCATGCCTGTTTGTTGAGTCCAGAGCTAAACATCATCTTCCTTGCTCTGTCATTAAAGGAAAAGTGGAAATCATTAATGCAAGAGAGGTGGCTCCAAAAAAAGCATCGGAGGACATGTTTGGGAACAACACACAGCTCTCTCTGAAAGGTATGGCAAAGGCTGTTTCACTGCTCTGGGGGGACTACATAGCTCCAACATTAGCTGCTACTGACATGTCTAAATTAAGAACATTTCTTATGGTTAGGTTCTTGCATGTCTACAGGATTTCTCACCTAGAAATGTCCTCTACTTTACACAATCTGCAAACTCCGTACTGACAAGGAAGCTAAAAATAATGTCCTTCAAACTAGTTGGTAACTTTAGCACTTTCTGCTTTTCACTTCATGAAAACGCAGGTGGATCCAAAGCACTGAGTATGACCTGTTCCATATTTGCTATCTTTCCTTTCTACCTCTTTGAACAAATCTTTGTGGATCAACTTGGTTCTTGTCAGTTCAAATGTCCGCCCTAAATACCTTTTGTGGTGGCTTCAACTAATGGTTCAGGGACTCCAGAGAAGAAGTAGTAATTTCCTTTCAGGGAAGTATTTTGTAACAAAAAATAGAATGAAATACTAATTAATTCTCTTCATGGTCACTCCGGTAACCAAGGAGGAACGGCACCTTGGAGGGGGTTTGAGAAGTGTGTTGAACTTCTAGGAGATGCCAATAAAGGCAGGATTGAAGCAAACTGCTGCATCACTGTGCAATGTAGTAATCAATCTATTGCAACTGTAGTTACAATGCTGCAATAAAGTTTTTGGCTTAAGTATGTGCGCGTTCTGTGCCCTCTTACTGTAGTGTGTCCTTCTCTGAAGGACTGGAAACTGCAGGCAGCTATGACAGCTTCTGTGTTCTGAGCAGCTTTTCTCTGGTGCAGAGCCTACTGAGGGGAAATGACCCAGAGTTAAGTTACCAGCAAGAGGATAGAGGTGTTTCAACAGTCCAGAATATGTAGGCATAAAAGTCAGAATAATTCTGTTAGCATCATATGCATAAGCTGAGCTGGTCATAGTATACGTAATCCCTGCCTAAAACCAGGGCTGACAGAGAAACCTGCTCTACCTCCTACTCCATTAATCGCTTTCTTTTCTGCTATGGAAGGCTAATACATTCCTTATCTGCTCTAGGAGGACTGTCCATTGCTGTTCCAGGAGAAATCCGTGGGTATGAACTGGCTCACAAACGTCATGGCAAACTGGCATGGAAAGACCTGTTTCTGCCCAGCATCAAGTTGGCCAGAGAAGGATTCCCTGTTGGGAAAGGCCTTGCAGCAGCCATCAAATCAAAAGAGGAGTCAATTGAAAACAATCCCTCACTGTGGTAGGTAGAGCCGTTGCTGTTCTGTGCAGAGACATCTGTGGTAACTGCATTGTAGCTGAAAAGTCTCTGCGTTTGTGTAATGTAGTGTCTGTGAGGAGTGTGCCTCCCCTCCAGTGACTGTCTTCACTGTACCTGCTGATGCTATTCCAGCTACCTGAAGGTGCTAAATCATGTGGCCAATTTTAGGAATGTTCAGTCCTGGCCTTTAAAGGGAGATAAATTCTGCTCTTAAAGTCCATTTGTCTGAGCAAGGGTGGTATTAAAGTACATGCTGGGATAAATCTGTTAGATGGCAATGTATTTTCTGAATCTCCAGCTTTTCCTCATGCCGTAACTGCACCAAGCTAATCATACCTGCATGTGGGGCAATTGCAGAGTCTCCTTGAACATCTCATCTGCTGTCAGGCAGTGGAAATTGGGGTCATCTCTTACTCTGCAGTAAGCCTTCCTCAAGCAATGCCTCTGACCATCCACTTCTGGCAATTACTATGAATGTGAAGGGTTTTAAATGCTCCTCTACTTCTTCTTACAGTCAAACCCTGATTGTCTATGTCGAGCCCTACTGCAGATCTCTTTTTCCTTAAAACCTCTGTGAGCTGCAGGTTGGTTTCCAATCCAATTGGGAGGTACAGCCTGGGCCTATCTCCTGTACTTCCATCTGGCAGGTCAACAGCAGCACATTCATGATCCATGATAAGGGAGCTAGAGAGGAAACCGTCTACCTCAGTGATCTGACAAACAGGGATTGAAATGCATTCTCCTGGACTCGCTGGAAGCTTTGAGCCTGGTAGCTTCATAGTCTGTGCTCTGAACAGAACTGCCTGAGTTCAAGGACTATGGCCCCTCCTGGGCATCTTGAGGCAGTTGTTGGCCATGGGCAGCTAGGGAGGGTGGCCTGCCTTGGTGAAAAAGATGGACGCTCTCTCTTGCAGGCTTCAGTGAGCAAATTCTGAGCAATGTGGAATCCCAGGTCAGAAATCACTGTTCACTTTTATGTCCCAGTGAAAGATATCAGGACACCTGGGGCATGGCTCAGGCAGCTTCTCTTCTCTCCAAGAAGCCTCTAGCACGAACACTCAAGTACTGTGTCAGCTGGTACAGGTACACATAGTTTTGAACTTGTCTCTCAGATCTGATCTTCTCAATCTCCTTTCTCTGTTAGCGAAGTGTTCTGCAGAGGAGGGAAAATTCTGCATGAGGGCGATATCATCAAGATGCCTAAACTAGCCAACACATACGAGACTATAGCCAGTGAAGGAGCAGATGCCTTTTACACAGGAAGCCTGGCAAAACAGATCATCGCTGACATCCGCAGTGTAGGTGAGAAACGACATCTGTGCAAAACAGCATGAGTGACCTGACTGCTGCAGCTCAGCATCCAGGGAGGAGCTGGTGACCTGCAGAAGCCTTGGATGTGGGTCAAGCTTGCTGCCTGAAATGCCACCTCTCAGACCTGTGGCAACAGGACACCCAAGAGAAGCCATTAGAACTTTAATGGATGGATTTGAAACTTAGCCAGAAATGGATAGTGTGTACTGTGCATTCCTGTACGATATAGTCTAGCAAGTCTGTGCATTTTTGGATATAGCTGAGTAGATATATGCTGTTTACAGAGCCTGAATTCAACAAGTTGCTACCTAAAACATTACATACGTGGTCCTGTAAACTCGGAGCTCGTTTAATCTCTCGATACCACTAGATGGTGGTAGTATCCTATCCTTACTAGCTAGCACTGGCTAGCTACCGTCAACCTCATGTGAGTCATTTACTGGCTTTATTTGTGATGGTTAATTACTGTCTTCCCCCTTCTGATAAGAAAGACAATAGAACATATAAATTATTCTGCTTGTGGGGTAGCACAAAGCATCTGCACTCAAAAGCTGCATCCTCCTCCTGTAAACAGGACTCTTAATGACATTTTATTACCTGACATTGCTGGTGTCCTTTGTAAAAAAAAGATGGATCACCAGATTTTTGGCTGCCGTAAATCAGCCCAACTTCAAGCTTAGGCTATCTGAGCCTCAGCTGGATCTATCAAGGAATAAAGTCACCTCCTGTGCACCCATCTTTGCTTTCTTTACCTTGATACTTTTTGGATTGGTCTGTTTCCTCCTGTCCTTCATGTGATGCATAGTGATGGACTATTACCTCCTCTTCCCACCAGAGATCACATAAAGCCACATCTATAGTTTCCTTCTCTTTTCCAGGGGGCATTGTCACATTGGATGACCTGCGGGACTACAATGCAACAGTGATTGAAGACCCCATACAGATCACACTTGGGGAGTTTACCCTCTACACGCCTAGTGCCCCCCTAAGTGGCCCAGTGCTAGCCCTCATTTTCAACATACTGAAAGGTGAGACTGCCACTGAGCAGTGCCTTACAGGCAGCAGGAGCTAGGAGAGCTCCAAAGACAATGCCTTTTTTGTTTTGGGAGCTGGGCCTCCCTTGGTAGCCCTCCAGTAGTTGAGAAGTCTGAGACCCCAGGAGGGATCAGAGATGCAGAAACATTCATCTTCTGCTGTAAACTCAGGGATGTCGCCTTCCTACTTGAACTACAGGTGCAAGAGGAAAAATACGCTCCTGACTGGGGCACTTCCCTGATACCTGCATGGGTGAAAACTAACATGTACTTGAGGCTTCTTTGAAAAACATCTCTGCAAGCACAAATCCTGCTGGTGACTCCCACAGTGCTCAGAAATACCAGAGCTCCTGTGTTCTCCATGAGGAGATTCGGACAGTCCAGTGACTGCACCTCTGTAGAGACCAGGCTTCAAGATTATACTGTTGGACACAGGCTTATTAGCAGTCCATTGACCATGTACTTTCCTTTGTGTTCACAATCGTTTGTCTTCTGTTGCCAGGATATAACTTCTCTGCTGACAGCATCAAAACCATGGAGGAGAAAGGTCTGACTTACCACCGCATTGTGGAGGCCTTTCGCTTTGCCTATGCCAAGAGGACTTTACTGGGAGATCCAAAATTTGTCAACATTACAGAGGTACGAGGCAAAAGCCTTTTCTTTCCACAACACCAAGGTTGACTGGAACATTGCTTAAAGTTTTTGGGTGACTAAATTTTGTCAGGGATGCTCTGTGCCACCTGCTATTGACAGGCACTGAACTATCTCTGAATCAAAATGTCCTGTGTGACTCATGGCTGAGCTGTGAGGGATATAAACGGAGGAAATCTTTCTGCTGTAAGCAAAAGCAAAATCCTCAATTCACCAGGAGCGTTTGAGTATATTTAGGGCTACACCACCCCCACCCCGTTTTCATAGTGTTTGAAGCCTTATTCACTAGGTGACATTCCCAGCATCGTTGTGGCTCTCTAACCACAGTCCTGCCTCTAGTAAATGGACCAATGGACGGGAAGGGGTGAGGCAGGAACTCTGCTTTTCCCAACTTCACGCTTTGTGCTTTCACTTCTGTGACTCTGCAAAAGCAGCAGGATCTGAGCCCAGCCCAGTTTGATGGACACAAATTTGCAACTTACAGAGCTTGCCTTGGCCTAGTCCTCTCAACCCCATCCCTTTCCTCTCGTCTCTGAAGCTAGTGTAACACTGCTTGCCTACACCTTACAGCAGTGTGAGGACAGCTTTCCATAAATCTACAATAATGGATGCTGATTAACTTCCTACACAAAGGGGTGCATTGTAACAGCTGCTTCTGTGACTTCTTCAAATGCTCTTTGGTACAATGTCCATCTTTCAAGAAGGAGGAAAGCCCCTGCTGGAAAGCTATGGCCTCACTGCTGGGATTTGCCACTCTTCTGTGGTCTGACGTATTGGATATCAGCCTCATAACTACATGTCTCTTAAACGTAATCTGCTAAGTAACTGCATTGGATTTCTCTGACAGGCGATCAGAAACATGACGTCTGAGTTCTTTGCGGATAGTCTCCGGAGGAAAATCACAGACAACACCTCCCATCCAGTTGACTACTATGAGCCAGTATATTACACTGGAGATAATGCCGGTACATCCCACCTCTCCATTGTGGCTGATGATGGCAGTGCTGTGTCCGCCACCAGCACCATCAACCAATAGTATGAGCTCAGACATTACTTCCATGTAGGCCTTTGCCATCTTCCTAGTGGTGGTTCTGTGGTTGGTATAAAACATCACTGAACTGTCATCTCTCTGGCAGGGCAGTGATGAGTAGCACTGTTGGTGGGCACTTCTGCTGAGCTTGCAGGTTAGTTCTTAACACTGAGGCCTGTGTGGTTGGCTCAGAGGACAAGATGTGTCCTCTCTCATGTTGAGTTCACCCACCAAGAAAACATTCACTGCATCTGGATCTTCTCATAAGCAGTGGTATCGCTGTTGGCTCTGATTTCCCAGGCTTCTGGAAGGAATTTGAGCTAATACAGCTGGTCTGGAAGTGCAGCGTTTGGCTTCGAGTGCTGTCAGGAAGACCTGTGTTCCGCACGTATGGCTTCAAGCTGGGGGTGAAGGTTCTTTTTGTCCATAGAAAATGTCTCTGGCTTGACACATCTAAGCAAAACCCCAATCGCTCCCAAATGTGCCAACCTTTGAGCTGTGCTGCCCTTGAATGGAGTGCAGTACTGCCCATCTGGAAGGGGAACTGGTTGTATTTAGCTGCTGTGCTGTTTTTCCCCTTGGGGTCCTTTCAGATGTGCTATACAGCAGGGCTCTGGGCTGCCTATACTCTTTGTGTAGCTGTGTGCTCACGGTATAAACTGCTTCCTTCCCCCAAGGGGTGTCAGAATGTCCTTTACAACAGGAGGGAGTGGAGAGTTACTCCAATCAAATGTCAGGTTTCACATTGCAGTAATTCACCTGAAGCTCCTCCTGGACTTGCTCTGGTTTTGACATGTCTGTGCCAACTTGTTTTCTCTAGCTTTGGCTCTGATGTACGATCCAATGTGAGTGGAATCATATTTAACGATGAGATGGATGACTTCAGCTCACCTTACATAATCAATGGATTTGGGATCCCTCCTTCTCCGGCAAATTTCATAGCACCAGGTAGCTGTAAACTACCTTCCCGACTCAGTCTTTTGGCTATATCTTGTGTAGTAACACTGTGGTGTCTGCAAGCTACGCTGCATCATGCCTGTGACCGGGGACAGATCTAGAGCTTTCTGCAGAGGACAGGGATGAAAGCAAGGCATCCCCAACAAAAGCACACTACCAGCCACCCCTGGTGCACCCTGAAGGAGGAGAGGCTGTCTAAAGAAAAACTCTTGTGTATGCCTCCTTCCAGCAACCAGAAATCCTTTCCCAGGGAGCTCAATACATGTCAGATTAAATTACTTAGGGCTGCAGAAGATTTCTTTGAACTGATTTAAGAAGGAGGCAGCAGCAGGAGCTGACTGCAAAGCATTAGATGCCACTGTCCACTTCTCCCTGTGCTACCTTGGGAGCTGTAGGGCACCTCTTGATAGACCCACTTCACATACATACCTAACCCAAACAACCTGCCTGCTCCACCACTGTTTCCTGCAGACCCATCTCATTGCTGCTAAAGCAGGCTGGGGATCTGCTTCCCCCGGCCCCGTACCCCCTGCTTTGGAAAGGGACAGGGAAGTGAAAGGACAGGAAGAGAAGTCCCACGGTGTACTGGAGGTAGCTGCATCACAGACAACCCCAGCTGGGACAGAACTGTGGAGGAAGGCACCTTCACCCTCTGTGTGAAGGACCAGGGTTAAGCTTTGCATTGCAGGAGCAAGAAGGAGAATGGGTACAGGGCATTGTGGGATCCCCAAGGGTTGAATGAGACATGTGAGCTGAGTCAGGAAGGCGGATACTGAGGCTCTGGGTTTGGACATGGTGCAGGAGCTGGCAGTTTGTAAGCTGTGGGTAGAAAGCTGAGCCTCTGTTGCATCTGTGTTCCCAACAGGTAAACAGCCGATGTCCTCTATGTGCCCCTCCATCTTGGTGGATAAAATGAAAAAGGTCAGGATGGTGGTTGGTGCTTCTGGAGGAACAAAAATAACTACAGCAACAGCACTGGTATGTGATGATATGGGCAAACTGGGGACAAAGCTGAGGCAAAACAAGGTGGGGGAGAGGCAGCGTTTGGGGTAAGGGGCTCAAGTCTCTACCTGTGACATGACAGTGGCAGTGGCTTCCTGCTGTGGGTCGGGGGCCCGAAGGGAGCTTCCTGCCTGGCCTTCGGAGGGCCAGAGCTCCAACGCCAACTCCTGCCGGAGCTACAAAGGGTCTCTTAAATTACTTCCTTCAGTGACTCCTGGTCTTTTCCTTTTGCAAGTTGTTCTTACCACTTGCAGAAGATTCGTGACTTCAGTTTATCTTTGACTTCTGTTCTCTGGATCTCCAAGAACTAGACTCTATCTAATTTAGAGCCATTTCCATCCAAAATCCTAGACTTTGGATGAAAGCCACACAGACAAGCTAAAGAAGAACTTAGGCCAGGGATGGTGTCAGGCCGTCTGACAAGGCAGGCTCTCTGAGCTGCTGCGGCAGCCACTCAGGCCCATCTAGACCAAAAGTGATTGCAGGAGAAAGCTGTGCCAGCACACAAAGCAGTTCAGAGCACCAGGCTGGATCCTGCTCTCTGGCTGAGGTAGAGGAAAAGTCTCTGTAAAAACCGCTACAAGCAGCTTTCTAAGCCCTTGATCCTGAGGCTATTTTCACTTGCCAGCAGCTCCAACCTGCAATTTAAGCACATAGAGATGAGCCAGGTTTAAGGAAACCAGTTGCACAGCAGCGGGAAGCTGTAGCTGTATGTTTGCTGAGGTGACTGCTGCGTGTCTAACTAAGCTAGCACTAGCTTAATCCCAGCAGCATAAACCCAACTACAGTAGCTTGAGGATCTGATCTGTTTACTATATTAATTTTAGTAACTCGTGGTATTTTTGTGGGGGAATCCTCCTAAGCATATACTAGCTGACTTGCTGCAATGTTACCTGTGTTTTGCTTAGCCAAGAGAGGAACTGCTGAAAGCAGCAGGATACAGAAACTACACCTTTTACGTGCTCTGGTGAACATCCTTCAGACATCTCTACCTATGTTGCTACAAGGGTCAGGCCTCTTTGAAGACAGGTTACTAACGTTAAGGCTTTTGGCTTCTCACAGACGATCATCAATTCCATCTGGTTTGGTTATGATGTGAAGAAAGCCGTGGAAGAGCCCAGAATTCACGATCAGCTATTTCCCAATATCACAGAGCTTGAGCAGCAAATAGAGGAGGTTTGTCTAGCTACAGTCGGAGGGGGCGGGTGAACTTCTTGTATGGTGCTGGGTTCCTGGTGGTGGGAAGGCATCCACTTGTAGAAAATCATGAAGCTTTGCCAAATGTTCCTTGGTGAGCGGTATTAAAGCTGGCACAGGTCAAGTACCGGTTAACAATAAGCTGTTCAAAGTGTACCTTTAGTCTCAGTAACATGGGTTTGAAGCCTAGTGCATTCAAGCATGACCTACCTCTGAAACTGAAGGTACATCTCTTCTTGCAGTGTTGGTTGGCTCAAAGTACTTGCAAAATAACAAACCACATCAGGGCCCAAACCATTCAGCAGTCTAAATTCAGTGACTCTCAGGGAACTCTTCCTATTGTGCAACCTCACGATGAATCATAGAATGGTTAGAGTTGGAAGGGACCTTAAAGATCATCTAGTTCCAACCCCCCCTGCCACGGGCAGTGACACCTTTTACTAGACCAGATTGCTCAAAGCCCCATCCAGCCTGGCCTTGAACACCTCCAGGGATGGGGCATCTACAACTTCTCTGTTGTTCAATCTGTTCCACTGTCTCACCACCCTCAGAGTAAAGACTTTCTTCTGATATCTAATCTAAATCTCCCCTCTTTCAGTTTAAAACCATTACCCCTCGTCCCATTACTACACTCCCTGATAGAGTCCCTCCTCGTCTTTCCTGTAGGCCCCCTTTAGGTACTGGAAGGGGCTCTGAGGTCTCCCCGGAGACTTCTCTCCTCCAGGCTGAACAACCCCAACTCTCTCAGCCTGTCTTAATAGCAGAGGTGCTCCAGCCCTCTGATCATCTTCATGGCCTCCTCTGGGCTCGCTCCAACAGGTCCATGTCTTTTTTATGTTGGGAGCTCCAGAGCTGGATGCAGTACTCCAGGTGGGGTCTCACCAGAGTGGAGCAGAGGGGCAGAATCCCCTCCCTCGCCCTGCTGGCCATGCTGCTTTTGATGCAGCCCAGGATGTGGTTGGCTTTCTGGGCTGTGAGCACCCATTGCTCGCTCATGTTGAGCTTCTCATCGACCAACACCACCAAGTCCTTCTCCTCAGGGCTGCTCTCAATCCATTCTCTGCCCAGCCTGTATTTGTGCTTGAGATTGCCCCAACCCACATGCAGGACCTTGCACTTGGCCTGGTTGAACTTCATGAGGTTTGCATGTGCCCACCTCTCATGGCAGTCCAGGTCCCTCTGGATGGCATCCCTTCCCTACAGCCTGTCGACCGCTCTACACAGCTTGGTGTCGTCAGCAAACTCACTGAGGGTGCACTCAATCCCACTGTCCTTGTCACCCACAAAGATGTTAAACAGCACCAGTCCCAGTACCGACTCCTGAGGAATGCCACTTGTCACTGGTCACCACTTGGACATCGAGCCATTGACTGCAGCTCTTTGAGTGTGACAATCCAGCCAATTCCTTATCCACCAGTGGTCCATCCGTCAAATCCATGTCTCTCCAATTTAGAGACAAGGATGGCATACAGGACAGTGTGAAATGCCTTGCACGAATCCAGGTAGATGACGTCAGTTGCTCTTCCCTTATCCATCAACACTGTAACCCCATCATAGAATCCTGAAGCACTGGCACAGAGCTAGCGAGGGAGGATGCACAGAGGGACTCGAGAACAAACTTGAAAATATATTCAGAGAAAAGGTCTCTCTGCAGTGCTGTCAGAGAGCTGTGGCAAGATTGGCCTCAGTCTGCATACCACTCGCCTGAGCCGGCAGCTTCATTCACCCTGAGGAGTTACACATCCCAGAGGCCTGAGACAGATGTAGGCTTTGTATGTATCTCATCCCATCTCTTTGTATTAGGGAAAACACTCCTACATAAGGCAGTTTTCTTCATCAAACTATGTAGAAGATCCTCCTTTAATAACCTTCTTATTAAGGTAACAGCTGAGGTATCTGCCTGCCCTGGGGAGGCTGCCCTGCTCTCCACAACTCCTGTGTGGAGATCATGTTCTCAAACATGATCCCTCAGTTCTGGCTGTTGGTGTATGAATGTCTGAGGCAGAATGTTCTGTGACCAGGAATAGTATTGGTACCCCACACTGAGCACCACAAATGCTCTCACATCTTCTCAACTCCACCCCTTCAAAAGCAGGACATGCCAGAAAGCAAAGGGAAGAGGAGGAACAGCCTGTAGTTTTAGACCTACCTAATACAGGCACTGAACACTTGGGTAGTTGTGGAGGATGCAGGTTGCAGACTACAGCACGTGCAGTTTATTTCTCCTGTTGTCCTCATTCACTTCTGCATTCCAGGGTATAGAAGAACAACTGAAGAAGAGAAAACACAATACCACGCGGGTGAGCGGCGGTGCAGTTGTGCAGGCCATTCTCAGAACAGATGAAGGATGGGCTGCAGCCTCTGATTCCCGGAAAGGTGGCTTCCCTGCAGGCTACTGACATGGCTCGGCTCCTTTTTTTAGTGGTCTAGTGACACTGAGGTGTGTTCGGGGGAAAGATCCTTTAGGTCTGCAACTCAGGGACTTCTCACAGGAAAAAGAACAAATTTACCTGTGGTTCTATTGACAGAGCTGGGACAGTTCTCTACAGCCATGACCGAAATGCCTCATGCTACAGCAGTCTGCTAAGACAGGCACGTCTACCAGGACGTGCAGCACTTACTTGAAGAGTCTGTTCTGCCTTGAAGAGTTTGTTCCCTGCCTCCTCTCCATCCCGTGAAGACAGATTGGGTACCCAGAGTTTCTGAAGAAGGTCCAGCTCACTCAAGCTGCAGGAAGTGTTTCCCCTGCAGAGTGTCAGCTACCAGGAATGTCCTCGTCACTGCTAGAGAAGAGATTTGTTTCCAGTTGAGTAGACGGAGTTACGGGACTCTGGGGACTGGGTTTTCTAAGTTACAAACAAATAGATCTGTGCTATAGCAGGAAGCCCAGCTCTAGACTGGGATAAGCCTTCACCACTTTCTTTTAACAAAAGATGTTTCTGCTTTTCACTTCAGTTGATTATTGGAGATGAGTGGGTAAATGGGGAAATGGCTTCAAACGTTTTTATATTTCTGTTGAGAAGGTCTAAAGGGAAGATGCTACCTGTAAAACTCTGAGCACAACTAAAATAAATAAATATGGAGTCACACATTTTTCTTGCCTGCACAGTTGCTACTGCAAAAAGGGATGGTAAGTTTGCCTGAAAGAAGCTCTCCTGAGATTCTTCTCTTTTCTTCGCTCCTTTGAAGCTACGAGTTAAAAAAAAAAAAAATAGTTAAATAATCAAAACAAGCTTCATTTTCTCCAACTTGCTTTATACCACATCATACTGCAGGCCTGAAATACCAGAGTCTGAGGAAATGAAACCTCTAAAAATGGGTACACTGCAGCTACTCTTGTTTGAAGGTAAGTTACCATTAATCAGACAATTAATGACCTGTCAGAAATCTGTATCTGATATGGAACAGCTAAGAGTGTGTGTACCTATGTGTGTGAGGGCGTTTTGGTGTTCACCTACCAGCATGGACTAATACATCACATCAGATTAACTTAGTCTAAGATCAAAACTGAATGTTCCAGGGTGTTGTCAAGCTCTAGGGATGTTTACGAAATCCTTGAAACACAAGTAACAGTAACTGAACTCATCTATTTGGCTTGTTGAAACTTCCCGTCAGTTTCTAAGAACCTTAAAATACAGAACGCATTGAAGAGAAAATGAACGGCTGAAATTTCAGGCATCAGGCATCCTCTCTTTCCCAGTAGTTTCTAGACTGGAGGAGGGTCTAGTTTCAAGGAATAAAGCGGTAGCTATATCATGCTTAAATCTGAGAGTCACGACTTTGACGTGTATATCTGCTTGTATCATTTCCACTAAGTAAGTTGCTTTTACCAAAAGTTGCCTGGGATGTGCTCTGGGCTCCTTTTCTTGAGCTGTTACTGATGATGATGATGTGTTAGGTGCAGCTAAGGCAGTGATTTCAAATAACGTTGAGTCATTGTGCTCCTTTAAGAATGAGGTTAGCTTTGGGCGAAACCTATATCCTTTTATCACTGAACTGAGACTTTGACTTTTCTCCTTCTTTTAATTCCACAACAGATGCCCCTCGGTGGCAGGCTGCTGTTTAAATCCAGTCTGCAGGCCATTCTGGGAAGCTTTGATACAAGTTTGTGTATGGAACATCATCGGCAGCTATTTGTTGAAAATACCTGGCCCTTTGGACTTAGGACTAGCCAAGCTCTTTCTTGGCCAAGTGTGATCTGAGAAATAAACAAAATTACTGCACAGCAAAATAAGCTTATGGAAACCTTTACAGTCACTATAGTTAGTCTGAACTACAACAGAGAAAGCTTGTGCTCTGAAACTGGAAGGTAACTGTTTTCTGGGAAATGACTGTTGGGCAAACACGCTTTCTGAAACAAGTCTGAGTAACTGCTGCTGGGCTGCTTCTAACAGTTTGTCATACAGCAACCTTAGTTATGTTCCTGTATTTCTTCTAGCTAGGCAGAAAACTCCCCTATTATTTATAACCTGTGTTACAAAACTTCCCTTATGGAAAGCTCAGATTTTGCCATGGCTAAAAACACTTCTGTTGAAAATTGTTCTTATAAATAGACACAATGCATGGTATGAAGAACCGGAGGTGTTACTGTGACCGATTCCAGCTGATCTGAAAGGGAGCTGTACTGTTAAAAGGCAATCCAGATCATGAACTGGGGAGTTCACCGCTTTCCCCCCATTCTTCAGTCTAACATTACCACAATTTTTGTTTGGCAACTGCCCAGGCTCTGGAAGGGCTACAGGGAAGTGCCAAAACCAAGCTGTGAGAGACAAGTGGCATATGCAGTCTTCTGCACACTTCAGTTTCTCCAGCAGTGTATTGAGTCTCCAGAATGAACAAGTGTTACTGCTGGAAACACCTGCTTGAAAGTCCTCCCTCAAACAACTGCTTGTGTGTTAGGCTAGGCAACAGTTTTAGAGCAGAAATTCCCAGACAGGTTTAAAAACACTTTATTAAAAATATAATTTAAAGATTTCATTGAAAATAGAGCAGTCTCTGTACAATGATGCTTTAAAAGTCCACATAAGTTGACTAAGTACAAAAATAATGCTCTCCTGTTGGCATAAGCATGAATGGGGAGGGACCAAACTGGGAGGCTCTTGACCCAAGCAAATTTCAGCAGTGTTGAGGTGGTGGCAGGGCAAGAACAGAGGTGCTAAGGGAGGTACAACCCCTCAGCTTCACCAGATGTTTTGCTAGTGAGGACTACAGGACTGAAAGTCTCTGCCGGAGTGAGAGATCTGCACTCTCGTTCCTTTCTGTCTTGCAAATTAGAGCTGTGATGGGTTTTAAAACTGCTTAATTGGCTCAGTTTCAATGTTAGTAGTAAAGTAGTTAAATTGCAGTGAGCGCTGGACTACAGATAATGTTCCCGTGTCTTCGTGGTGGTAAGTAGCTGTGATACTGCTGCACGGGGAAGGTGATAGGCTGGATTACTGAGGTGTGCTTCACCCTAAGGTAGGTCAGAAGTGAAGGTAATTTGAGGCTTAGTTACTTGGTGACTTGGTTTTTCTGCTAGTGAAACATGATGGAGTATGGCTTAGGGCAATGCTGAAGGCTGCCCTGAAGTCTGAAAGGGAAGCAAGAACTGCTCTTCCTGCCTCCAGCCAGTGCCATTCTTGGTTGCATTTTGCAAACGCTGAGCTGAGTTGGCCTTGCTAGAAATAACTACAGATCTTGCTAAAGCCAGCATCCGGTCTGTCTGGTCCTGAAATGCAAGCTGCAGATGGCGTCTGGTGCCCAAAAGTGCTTCCCTTGTGACAACTTTGCAGTTGGGATGTTATTTCTGACACTAGAACCAATGCTCCCAGGAACTGGTAGCTGAGGTAAGGGAGTTAATGAAAGTAGAAAACTTCAGCAAATTATGTAGGTTGAATATGACTACCAAAAAACCCCAATGTAATGCTTTCCAAATGAACAAAAATATTGCCCCCCCAAACTTTAGGCCTGTTCCCTTTCTCTATTCCCATTCAGCAGTACTGTAATGCTGTCTAACAGGGCGCTGTGCCACTTCTATGGCTTGAGTAAGCAGCTCTGACGGAGAAAACAGTAGTCCTTCCTCAACTAGGGGATTTAAGATAAATTCCACATGCATGAGGAAGGAGGGGAGCAGTGCATGGAGCTGGCTCTACACATAAGTAACTTGTCTTCCAGATATGTGATTAAGTACTTGCGGTTATGATCTGGTAACTTAGGAATACTTCTTCATTAAGCTCTGATACAGCTGCGGTCATACTATACTCCTTAGTGCGTAATTTCTGAAGGAAAACACATGTCTGGCTCTAGTCAGCTTCACTCAGACCATCATTAAAATGCAAGTGAAGGCTGAGATTTCAACAAATTGATGGCTTTATTGGACAGACTTCGTGGGTAAGAATGTAGACTTAAAACCTATCTAGCCTTGTTTGCAAGGGTGTGTGTGGATGGCCTTGTTTTGGTTTGTTTTTTTAATAGCGTGTGCTCAAATACTTGTTATGGTGTTTACAGAGGGATTTTTTGTTTGTGTACTAGGAATACCATGGGCTGTGTGTGAGGTAGGAACACACGCGCAGGGGAGGGCTCTGCTAGTGCCTTGCTCTGGTTTGGCTTCACTTTCAGAAACACACAATACTGTCTGTGCCTATAGGGAAGTCTTCAGAAAATTGAGTTGTTGGGGATCGTAGGAACTTGCCCTTGAGTATTTGAGAAGAGCTTTGGGGGTTTGTTTTGGGTTTTTTTTTAGTTTTTTTGTGTTGTGGTGTGTTTTTTTTTTTTTAAGTGTTTGATTTTCTTGGCTATTTTGAGCAGGGCAAGGTTACAGAGTAACTGCAAAAGACCTTTTGTGTCTAGGTGTATGAGTTCAGGTCTCTCCTCCAGAAGTTTCTTCCTTTGATAGTTCTTAAGTAGTCCTACAGTTTCTTCCTTGTGATCTTAAGGGAACACTAGAGACTAGTTGTGGTAAACAGGCAGTTGGAGCATGTCCTTAGGCTATGGGAGAAAAGTATTCTGCTAATGCCTCATAGCGCTGCATTGCTTCTCCGCAGTCCTGGTGTTTGCCTGGCCAGGCTGAGCTCACGGCTACAAATGAAGCCTTCTGATCTTGTATCCTTTGCATTTTGAAGAAAGTTATAAAGCTTCCAAAATCAACATGTCTTCCACTGCAATCTTCACCTGCCTTCCCAAACAACTTATCTTCTGCTGGCATTGAGGAGGGAGAACTGGCACAGACTGGGACTCCTCTCGCCACGGGAAGAGGTGCCCCCAGGGAACTAAGCTGAAGCCTGTCCATCCCAGGAGCAGGGAATTCATGTCGCCCCATGGGAGGCTATTCTCAAAGTCACCAGTGTGCAGGGATGAAGGAAGCTTTGGCGCTGTTACTCCTTTGCCATCCCCAAGGCAGAGAGTAGTAGAGCAGCAGATT